TGTCAAATGGTGAGCTAAGGTGATGTCAAATGGTGAGCTAAGGTGATGTTAAATGGTGAGCTAAGGGCTAAGGTGATGTTAAATGGTGAGCTAAGGTGATGTTAAATGGTGAGCTAAGGTGATGTTAGATGGTGAGCTAAATGGTGAGCTAAGGTGATGTCAAATGGTGAGCTAAGGTGATGTTAGATGGTGAGCTAAGGTGATGTTAAATGGTGAGCTAAGGTGATGTTAAATGGTGAGCTAAGGTGATGTTAAATGGTGAGCTAAGGTGATGTCAAATGGTGAGCTAAGGTGATGTTAAATGGTGAGCTATATGGCTATACCTGCAACAATATTTCGCTCATTTTCTATAACAAAGACATTATTGAGAATATTGAGATATCGGGTCTTAAGGACGTGTTTCGTATAATTTGTGAAATATGACGTGTGGTAGACTTAGTCATGTCATCAAAAATAAGGTCACCATATGTGGTCAGTATTATGTGGTCAGTGTTATGTGGTTAGTGTTATGTGGTCAGTATTATGTGGTCAGTATTATGTGGTCAGTATTATGTGGTCAGTGTTATGTGGTCAGTTTTGTGTTTTTTTTATCAATGTGATTCAAAAATCCCCATTTTGATATCCATAGCATCCACTCCTTGCCAGCTGTAGTGTGGATAAAAATCCCCTGAACCGACTGTGTTTTTGACACCTCAGCTAAATGCATTACGTCACAGTTCCTGTCTGTCTTGCCGCGTTAGTGCTCACGACATTATACTAAGTGGTGGGGTGGGCTGTAGAGGTTGGAGGTGGGGCGGGGTGTGGGGGGGTGTGGGGGGAGCGTGGATTCGGTTGTACTATGGGGAGTGGTGGGGGCAGGGGCAGCCAGTTTCAAACTTTTTGTCACTGTGTTTCCCCTGAAAAACTTGAAAGATAATTCCATCTTCCATGTAAAGTAGAATTGCTTGTAACTTTGTGTATCTTGATGTTTACTGTAATTTGTATATACCCTACAGCTTGACACATCGTGTAGTTGAGTGTTTATTTTTAACAAACAAACGCACCCGGTGATAGGGTAGCCGTAAATGGGATATTGATCTTGTCATCTGGAGACAAACTTTAGTATAACAAATCTATATTGTTGTAAAGATTGTAGGCCCTGTTTCCGTTAAACTTTTCTCACTAGAACTTGTCTGAACTTCTAAAAAAGAACCTCCCCAAAAAGGCGCACGTCCAAAAAATTCGCGCCTCCCATACTAAAAAAAAAATACGATCCTACAAATGATTCATAGTTTTGCTAACCCCCCCCCCCCCCCGAACTGACACCTCTCTATCCTTACATCAATGATCAGTCACACGGAATTTGGGACGTTATGTTACAGGTTCTGATCCACCTGACTCCAACGGGCCAACATTTGGGCCACGGAAGTTTAGGCCAAGATAGTTTGCGCCAGAAGCGTTAGGGCCAAGAAAGTTTTGAATTCTTGCATGGCCCGCGGCTGGGATTAAAGGTCCAGATTCTCATTTGGCCAGGGCCAATAGATCAGGAGACAACTGACATCCCGGCCCCCGTCACTCAGCGGGGAAAGATTGGAAACCTTGACCCTGCTCTTCGGCCTGTCACGTGATTTCCGGGAATCAACAGACACGCCTCTCCCCCTCCCATGTCAGCTGCCCTATGTGGGCATGTCACATGGTGCCCTATCCTGTGGGCATGGCACGTGGTGGTAGGCACTAGCCATTTGGAAGCTGGGATATCAAGGATTATTTACATCCAAGACTAGTATCTTAATCCAAGACTAGTATCTTGATCCAAGAGAAGTATCTTAATCCAGGAGAAGTGTCTTAATCCAAGAGAAGTATCTTAATCCAAGAGAAGTATCTTAATCCAAGAGAAGTATCTTAATCCAGGAGAAGTGTCTTAATCCAAGAGAAGTATCTTAATCCAAGAGAAGTATCTTAATCCAAGAGAAGTATCTTAATCCAAGAGAAGTATCTTAATCCAGGAGAAGTGTCTTAATCCAGGAGAAGTATCTTAATCCAGGAGAAGTATCTTAATCCAAGAGAAGTATCTTAATCCAGGAGAAGTGTCTTAATCCAGGAGAAGTATCTTAATCCAGGAGAAGTATCTTAATCCAAGAGAAGTATCTTAATCCAAGAGACGTATTTTAATCCAAGAGAAGTTTCTTAATCCAAGAGAAGTATCTTAATCCAAGAGAAGTGTCTTAATCCAAGAGAAGTATCTTAATCCAAGTATCTTAATCCAAGAGAAGTATCTTAATCCAGGAGAAATGTCTTAATCCAAGAGAAGTATCTTAATCCAAGAGAAGTTTCATAATCCAGGAGAAGTATCTTAATCCAAGAGAAGTATCTTAATCCAAGAGAAGTATCTTAATCCAAGAGAAGTTTCATAATCCAGGAGAAGTATCTTAATCCAGGAGAAGTATCTTAATCCAGGAGAAATGTCTTAATCCAAGAGAAGTATCTTAATCCAAGAGAAGTATCTTAATCCAAGAGAAGTTTCATAATCCAGGAGAAGTATCTTAATCCAGGAGAAGTATCTTAATCCAGGAGAAATGTCTTAATCCAAGAGAAGTTTCATAATCCAGGAGAAGTATCTTAATCCAAAAGAACTGTCTTAATCCAAGAGAAGTTTCATAATCCAGGAGAAGTATCTTAATCCAGGAGAAGTATCTTAATCCAGGAGAAATGTCTTAATCCAAGAGAAGTATCTTAATCCAAGAGAAGTATCTTAATCCAAGAGAAGTTTCATAATCCAGGAGAAGTATCTTAATCCAGGAGAAGTATCTTAATCCAGGAGAAATGTCTTAATCCAAGAGAAGTTTCATAATCCAGGAGAAGTATCTTAATCCAAAAGAACTGTCTTAATCCAGGAGTTTCGACTTAATCCAAGGCTAGTATCCACGAGTAGTCCCAGAAAGCGAGAGCCGGATCTTCTGCATGAAGCCAGCAGCAAACGATGGGAGATAATTCACTTCCCTCCCTTTCTACGAGCACTCGGGCGGAAAAATTAGCCGTCTCATCCAAAATTTATTGTGTATTTTTCAGACCCGGGGGGGGGGGGGGGGGGCACCACTCACGTTCTAGAAATTCTCACTTGAGAAAAATAGTTGTCACAGGGAACAAGAAAAATCCGAGATTTTGAAATATCGGAAATCTGTGTTTCCTAGCGACGAACAATTCCTCTCTCTCTCACATACACACACACTCGCCCATACACACAGACAATCACATCCACACACAAACACACATAAACTTACACACACACACATACGCACACAAACATACTCATATGCACACATTAACATACACAGAAACACAAACACATATAATTTTACTCCCCCCCTCCCCCGCACCTCAACATCAGGAGATCATAAGTAAGGTGGATCTAAGGTTGTGTGTTAAGGTGGACCTAAGGTTGTGTGTTAAGGTGGACCTAAGGTCCTGAGATAAGGTGGACCTTACAGTGGAGATAAAAGAAAATATTTGGGCAGTAAACAAGAGATGGAACAGCTCGGTTCCCCCGGGAACCTCCCCTGGACCCCCGGGAACCTCTCCTGGTTCCGACTGGACAGGCAGGAAATTGCCTGTCTCCCAGCCTGCTCGTCGTGACGTCACAGCGCGTGCGTGTTGGGGCACAGAAAATTTTGTCCAATCAGATGTAAGACAACGTCACGTGACTAGAAAACTGTAGGCGTGGCCTTGTACTCACTCATAAACACAATGACAATATTAACTCACACACATACACACAAACACAGGCCCGCTGAGAAAGATTTAACCGACACCCCAGCCTGTAAAACACACACTCAAGGATGCTCGTACAATGCACGTGATTCAGTGCTCACCCTCCAAGTATTAAAACGTTTTACGCGCGTGTAATTGCCGCCAACGATTCCATTTGAAACCCTCGAGATGTGCTAGATAAACTACGTCACCTCTTTAACTCCTGGATCTTAACCCCCCTGCCCCACTTGTAGACTCACTTCCCCCTTAGCTCCCAGACCTGCGAGCACCCCCCCCCCCAGGACTGTACTTTGATCCTGCCTCTAGTTGCGGGGTGGATGTTGAAGTTGACAGCCCCAGCCCTCTATTGAGGAGAATCTGTTTGTTCATACTACAACAACTGACACAGCTGTCAATTTAGGCAAAGCCCCCCCCCCCCCACTGAACCACACCCCCCCCTTCCGACCCCTGCCTCCCGCACACCGTTTACATCTGGCTTGGGTGAATCAAGTCAGTTAGCAGATTCTTTCATCTATTGTTCTAGCTTCTATCTGATGATACAATCTATCTCAGCCAGCATCACGTGCTTTTGACGTCAAGACCTCGGTACAACTAGATGTGGGTAAGGTGACGTCATATAGTCTAGGTAGAGGTGGGTAAGGTGACTTCAAATAGGTAGTGGTGGTTAGGTGACGTGTATGCGGATGGATGTGGATGTGTGTGTGTAGATGTCAGTGTGTGCTGCGTGTGTATGTGTGTGTGTATGTGCGTGCGTGTGTATGTGCGTGTATGTGAACCAGCAGTCTGAAGTATGAAACCAAGTCATGTTATCACCCCTAACAAGCTCCGTCTATTTAGCTATAACAGAGATAAACACAGACATTAGTTTAACAGACATAAACACAGACATTAGTTTAACAGACATAAACACAGACATTAGTTTAACAGACATAAACACAGAGATTAGTTTTAACAGACATAAACACAGACATTAGTTTTAACAGACATAAACACAGAGAATAGCTCTGACAGACACAGACTTTAGCTTTGACAGACTTAAACCTGCAATAAAAAGCGAGTCGTCTGGCAGAAGATTCCCCCCCCCCCCACCAACTCACGTCACGCTACCCCCCCCCCCCCCCCTCTATGGCAGGATGTACTTGATGTAATAAATGGCCCCGACCTCGCATATACATTGGCACGGCTGGAGGGGGGGAGGGACAGGACGAATAAATTTTGAAACTTCTTAATTTAAGCAATTAGTTAATTAGTTTCTAATTGAGAGTTTCAAGCGGATATGGGAATGTATTCTTCAAACTACGGGGGAAAGTTGGTCTGTCAAAAGTTGGTCTGTCGAAAGCTGGTCTGTCAAAAGTTGGTCTTTCAAAAGTTGGTCTGTCGAAAGTTGGTCTGTCAAAAGTTGGTCTGTCAAAATTTGGTCTGTCAAAAGCTGGTCTGTCAAAAGTTGGTCTGTCGAAAAATGGTCTGGCAAAAGTTGGTCTGTCAAAAGCTGGTCTGTCAAAAGTTGGTCTGTCAAAAGTTGGTCTGTCAAAAGTTGGTCTGTCGAAAGTTGGTCTGGCAAAAGTTGGTCTGTCAAAAGTTGGTCTGTCAAAAGTTGGTCTGTCAAAAGTTGGTCTGTCAAAAGTTGGTCTGTCAAAAGTTGGTCTGGCAAAAGTTGGTCTGGCAAAAGTTGGTCTGCTGTAAAGATCCCCCTCCAAAATCCAACTGGCTGTCACCTTTTGCCTTGAGATATGTAACTTGTATAGCCAGGCAGGCAGGAAAATAAAGTTAGGACGTAACTTTGACCCACATACTCGACTCAGGGGGTGGGTGAGGGGGTGGGGGGTGGGGTCTGGCTGACCTCTGAGAGTTGCAGAAGACGCCGAGCTCGCAGAGAAATGTCGACAATAGATGCGCGTGTCGTGCCGACATTCTTGCGGCACACGGAGTTCTTTGTGCTCACCACATTCTTGATAGCAGCAGCCTCTCTCAGACTCTCTCAGTCTTAGTCTGTCTTAGTCTCTCCCTGTCTCTCTCAGTCTTAGTCTCTCCCAGTCTCTCTCAGACTCTCTCAGACTCTCTCAGTCTTAGTCTGTCTTAGTCTCTCCCTGTCTCTCTCAGTCTTAGTCTCTCCCAGTCTCTCTCAGACTCTCTCAGACTCTCTCAGTCTTAGTCTGTCTTAGTCTCTCCCTGTCTCTCTCAGTCTTAGTCTCTCCCAGTCTCTCTCAGACTCTCTCAGTCTGAGTCTGTCTTAGTCTCTCCCTGTCTCTCTCAGTCTTAGTCTCTCCCAGTCTCTCTCAGACTCTCTCAGTCTGAGTCTGTCTTAGTCTCTCCCTGTCTCTCTCAGTCTTAGTCTCTCCCAGTCTCTCTCAGACTCTCTCAGACTCTCTCAGTCTTAGTCTGTCTTAGTCTCTCCCAGTCTCTCTCAGACTTAGTCTCTCCCAGTCTCTCTCAGACTCTCTCAGTCTGAGTCTGTCTTAGTCTCTCCCTGTCTCTCTCAGTCTTAGTCTCTCCCAGTCTCTCTCAGACTCTCTCAGTCTGAGTCTGTCTTAGTCTCTCCCTGTCTCTCTCAGTCTTAGTCTCTCCCAGTCTCTCTCAGACTCTCTCAGACTCTCTCAGTCTTAGTCTGTCTTAGTCTCTCCCAGTCTCTCTCAGACTCTCCTCTCTCTCTTCTAGTCTATCTTAGTCTCTCTCAGTTTCAGTCTCTCTCAGACTCTCTCTTAGTCTCTCTTAGTCTCTCTCAGTCTCTCTCAGTTTCTCCCATACTCTCCCAGACTCTCTCAGACTCTCTGTCTCTTTTCGTCTCTTTCAGTCTCTCAGTCTCTCTCAGACTCTCAACAACAGCCGCCTATGTTAGACTCACAATAACCCACCCCCTTCCCACTCGAGCTATGGAGGGGGGGGGAGGGGGGAGGTAACATTTGGATAACATTTGTTTTCAAACATCTTTGTGGCAACAGTTATTAAACGGTGAGCGGGATAAGTCACAAAAATAAAGTCACAAAAAAATGCACTAAAATGCTCTACGAAATATTTTGATTTACACACTGAGTATTGTAAAATTTTGGTCGTTTATAAATAGGTGTGGTTTTTTTCTTAGCTAGATATTTATAAACTTTTTAAAAAAATATGGTTTATTATTATAGTCAGAATTTTATCTTCTTATTAGTTAAAAATATTATAAGCCTCCAATTTTTGTTAGATATTTATTTGAATACCTGGTAAAAAAAATTAATTCTAAAAGATATTGTAGGTAGATCACTGTGTCATGTATGTTTTCGCCGTAAGCCTTTCCTCTGTCAGCCTCATCCGTCCACATTGTGTATCGTTGATGATTGCGTCAATGACAGCCTTTGTACCCTGTCGGACTTAGACTTGAACCTATACTTTGTTATGTAGTGAGTGCGATGTAGTGAGTGCGATGTAGTGAGTGCGATGTAGTGAGTGCGATGTAGTGAGTGCGATGTAGTGAGTGAGATGTAGTGAGTGAGATGTAGTGAGTGAGATGTAGTGAGTGCGATGTAGTGAGTGCGATGTAGTGAGTGCGATGTAGTGAGTGCGATGTAGTGAGTGCGATGTAGTGAGTGCGATGTAGTGAGTGCGATGTAGTGAGTGCGATGTAGTAAGTGCGATGTAGTAAGTGCGATGTAGTGAGTGCGATAAATGTGGGCAGTCGAGCTGGTGGTGTTAAGGACAACAAACCATGTTAACTGTGTCTTCTTCCAAGTGGTGTGTGGTTGTTGTGGTGTTGGTTTGTGGTGTTGGTTTGTGGTGTTGTGATGTTTGTAGGTCTGTGATGTTTGTATGTCTATGAAGTTTGTAGATTTGTGATGATTTGAAGAATGATGTTTGTAGGTCTGTGATCATTTTAGAATGATGTGTGTAGGTCTGTGATGTTTTTGTCTTTGTGTTTGTATCTTTATGATGTTTCCCAAATGTATGATGTTTTTAACCCAAATGTATCTTTTTATCCCAAGTGTGTGATGTTTTTATCCCAAGTGTGTGATGTTTTTATCCCATGTGTATGATGTTTTTATCCCATGTGTATGATGTTTTTATCCCAAGTGTGTGATGTTTTTATCCCAAGCGTATGATGTTTTAGTCATAGAATGCAGCTCACGACAATTGTTTGTTATATTTTTTGTTGCTATTATTTGCGCTCCGCAGAAAGTCGACACCCCTCCCCCTTCACCCCTCCCCCTTCACCCCTCCCCCTTCACCCCTCCCCCTTCACCCCACCCCAGGGTGTTACTGACACTCATCGCTAGCAAAGAAAAATAAATTGTCGGGACAAAGAGGCTTCACCTCATTACGGCACGGCTGGGGAAAAAACAATGCGCGATCTGCTAGGTAAACATCGACTGGAGGGGTTTTACGTTACTGTAGGGCTCCGCAACACGGGCTCCTACATCACGGGCTCCTACACCACGGGCTCCTACACCACGGGCTCCTACACCACGGGCTCCTACACCACGGGCTCCTACACCACGGGCTCCTACACCACGGGCTCCTACACCACGGGCTCCTACATCACGGGCTCCTATATCACGGGCTCCTATACAAAGGACTCCTACACCACGGGCTCCTACATCACGGGCTCCTACATCACGGGCTCCTACACCAGGGCTACACCACGGGCTCCTACATCACGGGCTCCTACATCACGGGCTCCTACACCACGGGCTCCTACATCACGGGCTCCTACATCACGGGCTCCTACACCACGGGCTCCTACATCACGGGCTCCTATATCACGGGCTCCTACATCACGGGCTCCTACATCACGGGCTCCTACACCACGGGCTCCTACATCACGGGCTCCTACATCACGGGCTCCTACACCAGGGGCTCCTACACCAGGGCTACACCACGGGCTCCTACACCAGGGCTCCTACATCACGGGCTCCTACATCACGGGCTCCTACATCACGGGCTCCTACATCACGGGCTCCTACACCAGGGCTACACCACGGGCTCCTACACCAGGGCTACACCACGGGCTCCTACACCACGGGCTCCTACACCAGGGCTACACCAGGGGCTCCTACACCAGGGGCTCCTACACCACGGGCTCCTACACCACGGGCTCCTACATCACGGGCTCCTACACCAGGGCTACACCACGGGCTCCTACACCACGGGCTCCTACATCACGGGCTCCTACACCAGGGCTACACCACGGGCTCCTACATCACGGGCTCCTACATCACGGGCTACACCAGGGGCTCCTACACCACGGGCTCCTACATCACGGGCTCCTACACCACGGGCTCCTACATCACGGGCTCCTACATCACGGGCTCCTACACCAGGGGCTCCTACATCACGGGCTCCTACACCAGGGGCTCCTACACCAGGGGCTCCTACACCACGGGCTCCTACACCAGGGGCTCCCACATCACGGGCTCCTACACCAGGGGCTCCTACATCACGGGCTCCTACACCACGGGCTCCTACACCAGGGGCTCCCACATCACGGGCTCCTACACCAGGGGCTCCTACATCACGGGCTCCTACATCACGGGCGCCTACACCACGGGCTCCTACATCACGGGCTCCTATACAAAGGGCTCCTACAATGTTATAGGAAGATGATACAGAGACTTGTATTGTGCACATATCCACAAGACGGCACAAATGTACCAGAACATTGTTACCAGATTGATTTACAAAATTCACGGTCAATCGAAGACGTCACAATAATGTATAGACAACTACAACAGATGACGTCACACAGGACAATGACTTCTGCTCCATCTGACCAAATCCAAACTGGCAAGTCGTGTGCGCAGACGGCCTCGCGCATGGCCAGATTTTGATATGTGTCATCCATCTTGTGTGGAACAAGGGTCGTTAACTCCAGATGGTCACTGGCAGAGCCCATCGCAAACTTGGGTCAGCCCCAAACCATGGACAACTATCCATTTTTACCCCGGCAATTTTTTATCCGGCAAAACTATCCATTTTTTATCCGGCAAAACTATCAATTTTTTACCCTGGGGAAACCTTCCATTTTTATCCGGCAAAACTATCCATTTTTTATCCGGCAAAACTATCAATTTTTTATCCGGCAAAACTATCAATTTTTTATCCGCCATCAGAGCCCTAATGGGCGGGAATTTGTCGCCTGATGTTTTCATCTCCGTGGGTACATTAGCACGTCGTCAAGTTGGCCAAACTAGAAACATTGGGGGATGGGGTGGGGGGGGGGGGGGAATTAATAGTGGTGTGGGATGATAAGGGTGTAGGGTGATAATGTGTGTGGGATGAAATGTGTGGGGTGATAGGTGTGTGGGGTTTATGGGCGTACGGAGACAAGTGTAATAATGTGATGCAAAAATTGATGACACTGATGATGATGTAGGGAGGGGGGGGGGGGGGGTGATGATGCGAGTTGTGACAGTTGGCGACAGACAAGGAACGCCTCACACTAACGTCACGTCACGTGCTTTCTACACTCACGTGACTGACGATCACGTGACTCTGTCCACATGTCAGCTGGCTGTCATGTCACTTCACCTCTGTCACCTGACATCAACAGCATGTCATATCAAGATGTCATGTCAGTGGGGTGGGGGAGGGGGGCGTTTTCCTTGTCATGTACTGAGATTTGAGTTCTGACATCCACTGACTAAATCTGACATCCACTGACTAAATCTGACATCCACTGACTAAATCTGACATCCACTGACTAAATCTCACGTCCACTGTCTAAATCAAACATCCGCTGACTAAATCTGACATCCACTGACTAAATCTGACATCATCTGACTAAATCTGACATCAACTGACTAAATCTCACATTCACTGACTAAATCTCACATTCACTGACTAAATCTGACATCCACTGACTAAATCTGACATCATCTGACTAAATCTGGCATCAACTGACTAAATCTCACATTCACTGACTAAATCTCACATCCACTGAC